ACTGTCTGTAGTGGGTAGGGGTATATGAGTATATCTGGCATAGTGCTCCCATACTCTCCTCACAATCTCACTCTCAAGAAAAGGATGGGTGAAAGTCTCGATCTCAAAGGTACCGGTCTCAGCACAACAATGGCAACGGGAGGGGAAGGAGAACCCTCTCGCCAGCATCACAGTGTTAATGGGAATGCGCCGTAATAGGAGACGCCACAAAAAGACGTAAATGGTCGGGGTGAGAAGGTCAGTCCAGATGGCCCCGAAGAGGAAGTTAGGCCGATTTCCCAGTCTCACATCTCCCCAGGCCGATGACGTAGAGAATGCACCCGAAAATGTAAGTCTCCACCTCATGCCATCCAAACCTCCCTCCAAAATGGGAATCTGTCGGATCTGGTCAATCTCTAGTCTACTGAAACCCTCACCATCACCAAGAATATCCGCCATCTTATCTCTATCCCAAAATCCCAAAAAATTGGGTTAGAGATCCACCGAAGTGGGTAGCCTTAACCGAATGTGTTAACAGGTAAATCCCGAAGGCCGTTCCCGTCCTCTTTTGTGACTAGACTCGCTTTATACTTTTCAACCTTGCCTTTTGCATTTCTTTTAATTTTATACACCCATTTAACACCAATTGTGTTTTTTCTTTCAGGCAGCGGCGCTAGCTCCCACGTATCATTCTTCTCAATTGATTTAATTTTTTCATTCATGGCCTTCCTCCATCTTTCATCTAGGGCCGCATCATCAAATCATACGGGTTCAGCTTCCGCGAACAAAAAAAATTGAGTAAATGCACTCAAATTTATTACCTCCTCTGTAGCTTCATAAAGCTCTCGTAGGTCTCTAAATCTTCGTGGACCACTCGAGCTCGCCTCATCACCTTGTATGTTTTTTGGCTGTGGTGTTGATGGTGGTGTCGGTTACACCATGTCTTCTTCATCTTCGTTAAATAATGGACTATATTGATCATTTTTATCTTGTCCACTCCAGTCCCAAACGCCTTCTTCGCAAACTCTACATCTCGGCTTATTACAAGCTTTCGGTTGTTTGGATTGTACAACTTGTAGCCTATTGAATAATTATCATAACCGATGAATAAGTATTTTGCACTCTTATCATCGATCTTCGTGAGCTTTTCATCCGAGACATGCATGTAAGCAATGCTTCAAAAAACTCGCAAGTGTGAATTGATGGTTTGTAGCCACTCCAAGCTTCTTGTGGCGTCATTCCATGGACACTCTTCGTGTAGCACCGATTCATCAAGTAGACGACACATGAAACAGCTTTAGCCCAGTACGTCTTCGGCATATTCTTGCTTTTGATCGTACTTCTTGTCATGTTGAGGATCGTCTGATTTTTTTGTTCAACAACTCTATTTTGTTGAGGTGAGTATGGGGTTGTAATAGGACGATGAATGCCATTTTTGTCACAAAATTCTTTGAATTCGTTCGAAGTGAATTCACCACCTCGATCGGACCGAAGCGCCTTGATCCTATAACCACTTTGATTTTCCACCAGCATCTTGAACTTTTTGAAGGTAGAAAACACCTCAGATTTTTTCTTCAAGAAATACACCCACGTCTTCCGAGAATAATCATCAATGAATAGCAAAAAATAATTATTTTTGCCAAAAGAATTTGGTTTGATTGACCCACACACGTCCTAGTGAACTAACTCCAATGGATATTGCGCCCTTGTAGTCGACTCCTTTGGAAAACTCTTTCTTGCTTGTTTTCCATTAATACACCCTCTACAAAGTTGGTTCGGATGATTTATTGAAGGCAACCCCTTCACCATTCTCTTTTTGCACATCATTTGGAGGCCATCAAAATTCAAATGTCCAAGTCTCAAATGCCATAGCCAAGATGAATCATTGAAACAAGACTTCAAGCACATTGGGACATCACTCTGAATGTTCGACAAAAACATTCGATTCTTCGTCATTGGGACTTTAACAAGCAATCTTCCATCTTCATCTCTCATCGTCAAACTTCTATCTTTTAGATGAATGTTATAATTTTTCTCCAAAAGTTGTCCCAAACTCAAAATATTGCTTTTCATCTCTGGCACATAAAAGACACCGGAGATAAATTGATGACTCCCGTCTTTCAAGCGAATCAAAATCGTACCTTTCCCTTTTACTTACACTTTTGAAGAATCTCCAAAAGTTATGTCGCCAGCAACGGACTCATTAAGTTCTGAGAATAAATTTTGTCTCCCGCATATATGACTACTTGCTCCCGAGTCAAGATACCATCGACTATCCTCGTCTTCCGAATTTGTTTTGCATGCGAGAAGCAAAGTGGGATCCATGTCTTTGTTGTTGTTACTCTACATGAGATTACTTTTCGCCTCTACGTCACTTTGACACTCCCAGGCGTAATGGGCATAGCGATGACAATTAAAACACTCGATGTTTGATTTGTCATGCCTTTGACTTGGCCTATATCCTCCACCTCTTGGGCCTCGACCTCGTCCACGTCCACGACCTCGACCTTTTTCTTGGTTTTTCTTCGAGTCATAATTATGCCTATTATTTGCATAATCATGTTGTCCTTGTCTTCATCTTCTGCGTCCTCGTTCTCGTCCGCCGCCATGACCACGAGCACCTCCACGGCCTCGTCATGAGTCAATTTCTTTCTCTTTGATTGATAGTTTTGCTTTCAAAGCTTGGTCAACTGATTCTTGTGTTGGCGTCTTCAATCTCTCTTCATGAGCTTGTAGTGAACCCACAAGTTCATCAGCGGTCATGGTGTCTAGGTCCTTCAACTCTTCAATGGCAACGACGATGTTGTTGAATTTTGGATACAACGATCTAAGAATTTTTCCCACAACTCGATCATCTTTCACATCTTCTCCATACCTCTTCATTTGATTGGTAATGGCCAAGAGTCTTGAGATATAATCCGAAATGGATTCGGACTCCTTCATGCGGAGGGACTCAAATTCACCTCTTAATGTTTGGAGACGAACCTTCTTTACTTTGTCTACACCTTTGAATGAAGCTTGAAGAATTTCCCATGCTTGATAGGAGGTGGTCGCTGCAACAACCTTCTCGAACATCTTCTCATTCAAACTTTGATGGATAAGTGTGAGCGCCTTTTGGTCTTTTTTTCTCCCGGCCACTTCACTTTCATCGACTCCTTTCTCCACGGAGTCCCAACACTCATAGGCTCCAAGCAAAGCTCTCATTCGTATGCACCAATTATCATAATTTTCTTTTGTAATTGAAAGAACTACAAATGGGGTTCCGTTCGATATTTTTCAATCCTCGATCTCCAGACAAAAATGACTTTGATACCAATTTGTTAGAAAATGGAAGAGGAGAAGTAAAAAACTTTATTATATTATTATTCTTCTTCTTGGATTTTTTACTCTTACAACTCTCACATAAGGTATTTATAGGTATAAGAATACATTTTCAAACTCCCCTAATTACTATGATGCATTTCACCTACATTTTACCTTCATTCATCTTATAACTTACATTCATGAATTATGTAAATTCCTAGAACATGACCACCTAGATACATTAACAAATATTAATTTAGTTTAATAATTCAACATTTGAAGTAGTTGGGATTTTGTAATGTACTCTGAATACTTTTTAAGAAACAAACAGATTTTTGACAGGGAAAATATTTTTAGAATTGATTCGTCCCTACTTTCTGTGATAGGTTCCTCATATTTATTTTCTAACCGATCAAATTAATTCTGCGGATATATGTATGTATGTATATATCTGCATGGCTAGTACATGTACTTTTGTTGCATTAAAGTCGTGGGCAGCGGGCACGACAAAATCATTGAATGACGTTCAACAGTGAGCGACTGGGTATTCAATTCATGGTCAAACTATTTAATTGCATTGAGTCAGGTAGACGTGGCCACGGGCCACTCGGCGCGTCGGACCGGCACGTACCCGACCCTATCAAACATGTTGACCAGGGGTCCAGGCCCGACTCAGATTTCAACCGAGTCGGTCTAGTGTCTTGTTTTTGTTGAACCTGGACCGACGGGTTCGACAAATTACTCTCTCCATAATCCACATCATGTCCATATAATCAGTTTATCAAATATTTTTCTACTAGTACGATACTCGTGTACTACACGGGTACTTAAATATATTAATATTTTTACAATAAAAAGTTAAAATTGTTTATATTTTTATTATGAATTATGTGTAATGAACATACAACAATAGTAAAAAACTAACAAAGTGATAATTAATACAATATCACTACAACATAATTGATATTAGGTAGCAATGAAAAAGTATTGCTTAATCCCTAGAAAATGATATCGTACTACATAATAGGTAACATTTTCACTGGTGTCGTATGTGAACGTGTTACCTATAGTCGTACGTATCGCTTTTGAAAGCTTTTAGAAACATTTTTTTTCAAGTGTAACAATAGGATATTTATTTTGTAACAGTTTGACATAACACTTTTCAAATCTTAGATATAACAGTTAATGTAACACATTTTTTCCAATTGTAATATTTTTTTTTTAAATCAACTTTTGTTGTACGGTAACAATGTACACTATAATTGTGTCACGATAGATCTTTTAACATAGCACTTTTTTTTTTTTTAAAAAAAAATGTTACTTTAGCTTCGTAAATGTGTTATATTACCTTATACATAGAGTAACATCTTATGTAACACTTGTATCACTTTAATTCATTTATTGTTTCACATTATTAAGATTTGTTATCACCTTAAGTTACTTCTCAATTAAAGCACTTTTAGGCTGATTATATGTATAAATATACATAATATAAATCGAAATAATAACTATAGACACTACAATTGTAAGTTTAATCGTAAGTTTCTCTTTTCATTTAATCCATGAATATGATGACTTTGATTGTGGAGATTGTTGATTTTGAATTCCATATGAGTATCTAATTCGTTTCGCTAGGGATAGGGATGATGGTGATGTTTAGAATTTAATTGTGATTATCATGCTTGTTGATCGTTCAATTTATGCGAATAGTTCTTAACTAGGGTTTATAATTCTCGTACATTGAATGTTGAATATTGTCAAAGAGTGACACTTCGATTTACAATTGATTTCTAATTGAATATGATTCGTTCTTGTGTGATGTTTTAAATCCAACGAACTAGTAGATTAAGAATTGTCTAGGATAATTAATCAACTCTTAGACTTGAAAGGGGAGGAGTTGATCAATCTAGGCTCGCATAAATTAGAATTTTTCGGAAACGTATTGTCTATGTGTTGCGTGGTTTGTTTGATTTACCGTCTATGTTACCCTCTTGTTACGAAGAGTTATTGCGGACTAATTTCTAGACGTTAGGTTGTTCAATTCATTTAACTGAATGATCTTAGCTTGATAGTTGCATTGCTTTTTGAAAATCATCATACCCGACTCCGTAGCTTCTTATCATCGACTGATCTTCGTATTTGTTTTTAATTTCAATTTTGCATTGTTTGCGTTTTTTTCGTAGTTGATAATTACAACCCACTCTCTTCATTAGAGTGTTTAGGATTATTTTTCGTTTATGTGTTATCAACACCACTTCTAGATTCCAAACCTCCTTCCTCGAGAGATCGATCGACCCGATGTTGGGAGTCATCCCGTACTCAGTAAAAATATAATTTGCTACAACATAGTACACTACAATTTACTAGCTCATAAAGCTTCCTTGAAAATGATATAGGACCCATCGTATGCCTATCTTTTTTCTCGAGTTCAAAATAATTTGAGAATAATAGGTAAATGGTTAAAGAAAGACAATAAAACATTAGTCTATTACATTACCTTAACCTCATCAAGTTTCAAATATTCTAACAATTCTTTGAAATGTGAATCTGGAATTGACTTTGACCTATTCGTCCATCTTTCTTTGTCATTCTCATACCTGGTGTCATGATTCTTCTTTATTCTACATTTATGACTACGCCAAAGATCTCCAACCGAAGATAACACGTATTGTTTTTAATTGATGAAATGTTACACCAATTGGTAACATCCACTTAAATGTGGTTTTGTTACAACTTCATCTCCATTATGTATGGAGTTATGAAGTGGGCATTGAAGACTTCATTAAGTATGAAGTTATATCTTCATTAATAGTTGCATGAGGACAACTATAAATATGATGCTTTGTGCATCATGA